GAAGGAATTTCCCCATGAATACTTGCACTTTGCATTCCAGCTGCTCTCTGTGGGTGGCTCTGGAAGAGATTTACTGTTGCACCCATTCTCCCTCTCCTGCCTCCAGCCAGTCATTAGATCTTAGGATCCTGCAGCATTATCTCCCTGGACCCCACATCCAAGGGAAGTTCTCACATGGGTGTTCTCAGCCCTGGGCTGCAGATCAGTCAAAGCTCTCCTGGCACTGAAGTGGATGAGGTGGAGATGTCCAGAAGGTGGATGAGGTGTGGAGGAAACAAGATACAGGTTTGGACCAGATGCAGGGGTCTGTTCAGGAATGTAAAGAGCAGGTAAGTGCCTCAGCCTGGGAGAGAGGAAAGCACCTTCCTGAGTAAAATTCAGGGTCCTTCTCAGGACAGTTTGTCCATGATGGCAGTTGGCATTGCTGCATGTGGAGGAAGAGTGGCGACGGTGATGCTGAGAGCAGGCTGGAGAGCTCAGGCACTGAAACTCAGGGAGGGAAAGGCTTTCAGTAGGGCATAACTTTAGGTTTGCAGGAGAGTCCTTCCTCCAGACCTCCTCCAGGCTGGAGCAAGGATCTCAGCGCCTTCCCGCACCCACCAGCACTGTGCCGCTGTGTTACGCAGCTCCTGCACCATAAGCTGTTGGCTCAGACTGTGCAGCCCTCGCAGACCTTTGCGCCCTGTGTTTGCAGGGCGCTTCTCCAGCTCCCTGGTGCTGATCAAAGTCCAGGCTTTGGTCTGCCTTGGAAAATTAGGTAGGAATGCTGCTTGGGCCAAAAGGGTTTTGTTTCTACTGGTTTCTCTCATCTCCAGCACGACATCCTGGCTGTGATCTTTGCTTTGATCATTTTTCCTCCTAATTTTAATAAGAATTTAAATCTGCTTTCCTTAACCTACATATCATCTGCAGCCAGACAAATAACTGAGCAAGGTTGAGAGACTGAGGCATCAGACAACCCAGCTTTTTTATTTGGTTTTACTTTAATCTGCAGGGTTTTTTTCTTTAGTTTGCAGGTTAGACTTTGTATAGTCACAACATCAGGAGCAAATAAAACTCTAGAAGAACTGATATCAGCAGAACATGAGTTGTTAGGACAGATCAGTCGGTCTCAGCCAGTATCTGAATCAGACAGAGCTCGCTGGCATAACAGAAAGTGGCAGAGGGCATTAGAGACACGAGTCCCTGGGATCCCAGACCTTCATTTCAAACAAGTTTCAAGTGAAGAGATAGTTGAAGTAGCTAAAACCAAATGTTTAAAAAGTAGGTGAAATGAAACGCCTTGACACCGCAGAGCTCACTCTTGACACGTAACAAACGCAAGAATTAGGGTTGGTACAGCTTTCACTCTGAAAGAGCTGTTAGCTGCACAAATCCTCATCTCTCTGGGCTCAGCCTCAATCAGCTTTTTTTTCCTTTTTCCTTTCTTTTTTTTATTTCTGTTACTGCTCTACTTTGCACTCAAACCACCTGCCTTCCCCCCTGCCCTGCTTGCTCATGGCGAGACCAGTGAAAATCCTGACTGCTGCGAGCTTTGTGCGCAGCCATGGCGTGGCTGGAAACATCCCAGTCCTTCAGCATCAGGGTGCTGAAGTCTCTGCTGTCTCTCGGTGCAGGCAGACCTGTGTGAGACCCCAGGCAGGATGGAAGAAGTGGGAATGCTGCCGGATTGCTGAAGAACTAACAGCTCTCTGAATTATCTTTGCTGATGGTGTCTCTACCCTGCTGAAGAAGTTGTAAGTAGGATCTGTACAACCCACTTGACTATGGAAAGGCACAAGGAAAATGGTGCAATACCCACAAAAGTGAGAAAGATGTGGGGAAGGTCAGGAGAGAAAGCAGCCCCTGCTGTCAGAGGTTTGAGGGTTGGTGTGGGAGGCTTCTTTCCCCATCCTATTCAGGGAGAGCCAACAGGGTCCTGGCTGAGCAACACAAAAAAGGTTTGTTAGAAAGAGACCCTCACCTCTCAACCGATGTTCTTGGTTGCTGGAAAGGCGCAGATTAAGTAGGGGCAAGTTTCGTATCAGCTGTTAGGTTCTGCGAGTGTTGGTGGAGTTGGACTGGAATTGAGGGAAGTGTCAGATATTCCAGGCTGAAATGAGTCAGAAAGTGGAGGGTTCCCAGAAAACATTTATTCAAGCCTCTGAGCCAATTGGAAAAACTTCTCCAGACGGAACCAGCCCATTTCACTGTGATTTCAGCGTTTTATGAAATGTTTTTAAAATTTTTTCGGAGCAGCGTAGTTAACCTACCTCATTTTGGAAACTGTTTTGAAAAAGCACATCAGAGTGTTTGGTTCCAAAAACATGAACATGACGTACCACTGTCAGGATTTATTCCTTGTCATTTTAATCAAAATGGATTCAAAGCCGACTTAAAAGTAAATATTACCATTTAAGAGGAAAGGCAGTTTAGTTATAGAAACTAAACTGCAGTTTTCTGCCAAAACCCTGCCTCCTTGACAGCTGAAGGTGTTGGATGGAGTGTGATGACAGAAAGTCTGTGCAGGATTTTTTTGCAAGGAAATACGGTGCAGTTCTTGCTGGGGACAGGAGTGGACTGTCTGAGCAGAAAAAAAAAAAAAGCCTTTTTTCTGTGTTGGTCCAAAGTGAAGGAAGTGTGGTGGATGCCACAGTGAAATCCCAGACCAGCTGCTATAGGCTGACTCTTCTTGTGAAACAGGTCTTGGCTTTCATCTTAACTCCACTGATGTTTTACCTTGGTCCTGGAATTGATTCAGGAGAGAAAAAGATAACAAATACGTTGCACTTGGCCTTGACTGTTTAGCTCACACCAGTGCACTGTGGAGGAGGGAACACTGACCTGTGAGCCAGGCAGGTCTGTCTCCTCTGCTCTGGCCTTGAGATTTGACTTGGGACATCCCTTTGCCTCTCTGCCTCAGTTTCCCCATGGGGATAGTGGTCTCTTTCTCAGCAGACTTTTATTCCAAGCACCCCTTGCTCCCCTTTTCCTAGATGGAAAAGCCACTGTGACCCAGCCCATCTGCCTCTGTGCCTGCTCCCTTCCACGGCAGGGACCTTTTCATTGCCTCTTGGGGTGCCTCAGCAGATCTACTTGGAGGGTGCAAAACAGGCTTGGATTTTGAAACCACCCCAGTCCTGAGGGTGGGTTCTCCCTTCACTCCCTCCAGTCATCCCCCACTGCTGTGTCCTTGCTGCAGGCTGTGGCAGGATCCCTGGGGTGCCCATGGCCACGCTGTCCATGGCCTTGCAGGAGGCGCCACACCGCTGGTTCAGGAAGGAGGTGGAGATGCTGGCATGTTCATAGGGAAAGGTGCTTCCTCAGCAGCATCTGGCCACCTGGAAATGCAGCTGTGCCTGCGGATAAATCTGCCCTTTGAAACGCCGAGCTGGACCGGACATCGCTGGCTCTGCCTTCGTTAAACATTTGCCGGGTGTCTAAAGGGCAGGATCGGAGCACAGGTCCCAGTGCACGAGTGGATGTGGGAAGCCAATGCCCTGACACTTCCCGGCATGGGAGAAAAACCCTCCCACATCTGCTCAGCCCATCATAGAAGTTGTGTCGCTGCCGCATAGGCAGAGAACCCACCTCTGCTTTGGGAAGCCCTTGCATGGATTTCCGGAGGCTGGGAGAGGGCTGGGTATTGCTGTGTGCTGATCCTGCTCACGTGTACCTTCCCGAGGCCCCTGCTGCAGCCAGCACCAGGGGCGGGAGCAGGAGCTGGTTATATGGGAGCACGAGCCCCAATGCCGCTGCTCCCATAAAACCAGCAGTGCCTTAGCTGAGGGGGCATCCTGAGCAAGGGTGCCACTGGAAGGGAACACTGTGAAAGGCCAGCTTCATTTGTTACCACGTGGCTAATTGCTGTCAGCTCCAGACTGTTTCTTAGAGGATGCCAAGGCCAATTTTGTTCAGAGTCCTTCAACAAATTCCCCAGCTAAGAATGCAGAGAAGAACATTCCTTAATGACACAAATTGTTACAGAAAACAACAGTCTAAGAATGGATGTGACAATGGATGAGCAATCAAGCATTAGAAGACCACCTATCCCTGATGGGAGAAGGGTCTTCACCTTCCTTTCCATATCCAGTTCCACACTCTTGGAGCAGGATCAGGTTCTGGGCCTCTGGCCATCAAGTGCAAACTTGCAAAGTTTTGTAACATACAGTCTAGCTGCCCAGAAACCTTTTTCAAGGTGGGACCCATAGGAGGATCCACCATCCCAAACCAGCAGAGAAGATCGCAGAGACCATGGCATTTGTTTTGGGGCTGGGTTGTAGCCGTCAGAGTGCATGGCTCTTGTGTGCTTGCAGAGAGAGGCATCTGTGCTGGGAAGAGCTGTCACTTGCTGTCCCAATGTCTGTTGGAAGTAGCGTGCTTCTGGCCTGCAGCCCTGTGGGATTTTCCATTCCTAAGGCAATACGTGCTCTGTCATGGGTGGAACAGCCTCTCCTGGTGCACGCAGACATCGCAACAGTGCTGAGCCCTGTCCCACAGGCCTCCTGAACCACTCTCTGGCCACCATGGGAGCAGCAGAGGGTAAGGGATTTGGTGAGCGAGTAGGTACTCCACCACTGTTCATCCTCTCGGCACACCGTTCCCCATCCCCGTGCAGGGAAGTCTTGTGTTTTCAAGCTGGTTTTTCCCCTTCCCCCATTGTCCTCCCAGGCTACGCAGGAAATAGGAGAGCAGCTATTTCCTTGCTTCGTTTGTTCAGCGGATCCCACAGCCCTTCCTCCCCAGCAAAGAACTTCCTGCAGTCCAGAAAGCCTCTATAAACCCAACTCCCCAGGGTTCGCTGGCCAACCTTCACCTTTTCCATTTTCCGGTCAATCATTCTCCACTGCACGCTCCACCGACGGCAACTTTGCAGGGGTCAGCTTTGGACTTACAAGCTATTTGCTGGTCCGAGGTGGTGGTGCTGGGAGGAGGGACAGGTCTGGGGAGGCACAGAAGGTCACCTGCTCCTGCCTTACTTTTCTTTCTCACTCCATCCCTGGAAACCAGAAGATCAGGTTATGATCCAGCATCAGCTGAGACAGCTCCTGCCAGAGAGGGAGGTGGATCCTTCTGCTGCCCTCGCCCTGCTCTGTGGCTCCGCAGCAGCCTTGGTGGTCTGGAAATGGCTGGGCAAAAGGCAGGTCCAGAAGAAAATGGAAGAGGCTCGGATGACCCGGGATGAGGGTGTGAAGAAAATGGCAAAGGCTGTCCAGCAGTTCAGGGAGCAGGTAACCCGTCCTCCTGGGGGGTCCGAATCCCAGCAGGGTGTCTGCTGATGTCGTTCTTCAGCTCCTCTTTCCAGCTCATGCCTCTACAGCTTTTGTAATGAGGAGTCCAGGGAGATGTGCCAGCAGCCCTCAGCAAGAGGAAAGGCTGCCTTGGGAGGAAGGGGGATCACTGCTCTCCTCGAGCTGGATGAGGTGCAGTGGGAGTCTACAGCCAGGGAGGTGTGATTACTCCCTGGGAAGAGGTTTTGGACAACACAGGTGATGAAGCGCTGGACCTTCGTTGATCCAAAACGTGGGATGTAGAAATGTCTCTTGCCTCTATCGGTAGAAGCAAGAAAGCTTTTTTTTCTTCCTAACTCAAAGTTTACACCTGTCCACACCCCTATATCTTTGTCTCTAAAACTCGGCTTCTGGATGGCTCTTGGACAGTCTTCAGAACAGCTTTCATAAGGGTTCCTGGCAAGCAAGACCTCCTGTCCCAGCAGACTTCCAGAAGAAGCTTGGCCTAACTTGACAGGAATGAAGCACAGGGCATTCTGTGTCCTCTGGGGGCAACCAGGACACGACACGGGGATGAATGAGGCAGGCACCCAACCAGCATGGGTGTAGCGCTGAATTCCTACTGCAACACTGATTTCTAACCACCTTTCCTTCCTGCTCTCTTCTCTTCTGAGTTGGTGCTGGTTGAACCAGCTCATGTTTACACAGGTAATGTACCCGGAGATAAAGCATACCAGCTACAAGTGATACATACCTTTACAACCTTTTTTCTTAAAGTTTTTTTTTCATATTTATATTTCTTAAATATGTATATCTATAAATATGATTTAAAACCTTATAAAAAGCTGGTGGCACTGAGAACTGCCAGTGTTCTTCACCTGGGTAGACCTTATCCACCTGTAAGTCCCTAGTGACTTCTTTGCAGTTTGTTGGGCTTCAGCTTTTAGATGTTTGTCCTTAGGCCAGGCTGACCCCCCCTGCCTGCACCCATTCTGAGGGGTGAAGGGCCAGCCTGAGACTTGTCTGCAAGTCTTCCGGGGAGACCTTATAGCACCTTCCAGTACCTGAAGGGGCTACAAGGAAGCTGGGGGGGACTTTTTCCAAGGGCCTGTAGTGACAGGACAAGGGGGAACGGGGTTAAATTGAAAGTGGGGAGATTTAGATTGGATATCAGGAAGAAATTCTTCCTGGAGAGGGTGGTGAGGCACTGGGACAGGTTGCCCAGAGAAGCTGTGGATGCCCCATGCCTGGAAGTGTTCAAGGCCAGGCTGGACGAGGCTTGGAGCAACCTGGTCTAGTGGAAGGTGTCCCTGCCCATGGCAGGGGGGTTGGAACTAGATGGTCTTTAAGGTCCTTTCCAACCCAAACCATTCTGTGATTTTATGGCTGTGGTACCTTATGCCCATGCTGGTGTTTGCTCAGCTGAAATTACCTCTTGGTCTGTGGGTAAGCTCATGACATCCAAACTCAGGATGAAACACTCAGCAGCTCAAGGGCTGAACCCCCACAACCAGGATCTTCCTTTCCAGCAGGGTCTGTTGATAATGTTGGCAATACTTAAGAACTTATCTGCTCCAAAGGGTCGGAGCTGGTGTCCTGGCATACCCTTCATCTTCCCCACACAGGTCCCCCATGTCCAGACGGATGCTATCCTGTCCCTGCCCCTGCTGGAACTCACTGGGAGACTGCAGGAAGGGTCTCTGTCCCCTGAGACTGTCCTCTACACTTACTTAGAGAAGGTGAGTGCCTGTCCGCAGTGTGAGGGGCAAATCACTTATGTTCTCTATGCCATGGCATGTGGGCTGGTGGCTGAGAAGGCTTGTTGGAGCTGGTGATTATGACAAGTCTTTAACATAGTGGATATCAGGAGAAGGGTATGAAAAGGCAGGGATGTCACTATCTCCTGGGTCTCCTGGGATCTCCTGCTCTGGGGAAGGGGTTACCACTCATGCCAAGCCACCAGCTCTTGTTTTGAAGATCCAAGTAGCTACTGAATGCAGCTGTGTAACGATGCCCTTCTTAACTAACACGTATTCCTGCATGTGTCTGGCAAAGGCCCTGGAAGTGACCCAGCGGACAAACTGCTTACGACATTTTATCCCAGAGTGTGAGGAGCAGCTCCAGGAAATACAGCGGCAGAAGGAGAAAGGGCTGCTCTATGGCATCCCCGTCAGCATCAAGGACCACATCGGACACAAGGTGCTTCCCATTGTGCCTGTGGGGTTTCCCATTGTGAGCCAGGCTGGGTGGTGAAGTGGTGGAACACAGAGAATGGGTCAGGGGCCTGATCCCTCCCTGCTTATACCACGGTAAGCCTGGCTGGGTCTGAGGCTGTGGCCTCATATCTCACTGCATCTGCAACCCTGGCAGTTAGTAACCTCCATCAGGAAAAAACCAAGGGATGAATAGTTATACACCCAAATGCTATCTGCTCTGATCTGTGAGACAGCACAGGCTGGGCTGCATGGTTCTTAGGGCCACAACTCAGACCTGCTCAGAGTTTTGCAGTATCAGGGGTAAGAACATGGCTCAGCTTCTAGAAAGTCATTAACAGCAGGAACCATTAACCTCAAATCCCCATTGTGCTGTAGCCTGGCCACTGGGCCCCTTAGCAAAGAGCCTATGCATAAGACACACCAGGGACCCCCCTGCAGACAAGTCCTGATGAGGACCACATGCTCTTGAGCTGAATTTGTTAGGTAGTCTCCTCCATCTTGACTTACCAACACAGTTAAGAGGGCTGTAAGCCCAAAGCAAGCCCCAGGCACCAAGGCTAACAGAGAAGGGATCACACTGTGTTCACCTGGCATGCACATTGCCTCCCTGAACATCCGCTGCTGGCTTCACTGGGACGGCAGGACACTGGGTTTGATCCTGAGCTAGGGTACCTATGGAGTAGCATCTGGGTCAGGAGAGAGAAATAGCATGGAAAAGAACAAGGAGAGCTTCAGGAGAAGCCTTCACCCTGTAAGTGCCTGGCAAGGCATCCTCTGCCAAGGATGGGAGGAGATGGAGTGTCCTTCACGCGAGGAACTGCAAGGGAGGGGGTTAGTACCTGCCCTCCCTCAAAGGGGACACCAGCTCATCCTCCCAGAACTGCATGGGAATTACACTGACCCTGTCCGTTGTCACTTCTCTCTGCAGGGGCATCTGTCAACCTGTGGGCTTGTGCAGTGCCTGGGCCCTCCGGTGGAGGAGGACAGCGTCCTAGTCAAGGTTTTGAAGAGACAGGGGGCCATCCCATTTGCAATGACCAATGTGCCGCAATCCCTCTTCAAGTAACACACATTATTAAAAATCTTTCCTCTGTTTGTCCCCCTGAAGCTAAAACACAGCCTGTAGGTCCCAGGAAAGACTCCTTCCTGTCTCCTGGGATGTTGCCTGGATGAGTCCCTCTTCCATCAGCTGCCAACAATCTCAGTTCAACTGAGAGTATCTTTCAGATAAGATTAAGAGGAAAAAAACTACCTGACAGAAATGAAGTGCACTTGTGCATGAGAGGGAGGGCTCATGGGAATGAGCTGTGTCCTGAGGGATTTACGGGCTGGAAGGATGGGGTTGGGTTTGCCACATAAGCTCACCGCAAGGCAGAGCCAACAAACTCAAGGCTTTAAGCTGTTCTTGATAGCCCACTTGCTGGTTTTCTTCTCCCCAGCTACGACTGCAGCAATCCCATCTTCGGCCAGACCCTGCACCCCCTCAACCACCAGAAGAGCCCTGGGGGCTCCTCAGGAGGGGAGGGAGCTCTGATTGCAGGAGGAGGCTCCATCCTGGGCATCGGCTC